TCTGATTTTGTAATTCTATTAAACTATGGCGTTATTGAAACAATGATTAATTACATTTTATATTATTACTTATAACTTTCAAAATACTAGAGTTAAACCATGTATTCTCAAAGTAGAGAAGACAAATCAATATCTTTTTATCAAACATGCATATACATAAGACATAACTCAGAATTTTGTTATGCATAGAAAAACAATGACAAAATTTTACAGTCACACAGCAACACATCAAAATGTTAAATCCAGAAAATGACACATTCGGTAAGTGATCCTTATTCATGTAAACTATATAATGTGCATATATTATTTTATCTCATAAATTAAATTATATCTAGTCAATTCTCAAAAGAAAAAAATAAAGTATATCTAACAAAAACCTATATCAGTAAGTGATCATTGTTCACGTAAACTATATCATGTGCAGATATTATTTTATCTCATAAACTAAATTATATCATGTGCACAAATCAAAAAAAAATTATCGGGCACTCATGTTCTTTATACACAATTGAACATACCTTATTTTGATATATTCTATGGAAAATCTAACACTACTAAAAGTTGCATATAAAGCATTCTTAGGCTGTCCACATAGGCAGATTTAATTGGCCAATAAGATGACTTTAAACTTCCACGTTGGACACAATATAACGACACCAAACCAGTTTGGTTTTCATGTCTGATTTTTAATTACAATTCATGGTTATTTTAATTACAATTCTTGGTTATTTCTGATTTGGTCAATCGGTAAAGTAGCGGAGAATCCTAGGCATCGTTTCTTCCTATTCCTTACGACTTTCTCCAATTCCTTTCGACTTCCCATCTTTGGTTTCTTCTCTTCCGTTTTGCAGATAGATTTAACCACTCTCTGTTCTAATCAAGTCTGTGTTTCTTCTCATTCAATGGCAATCGCCTTTCACCTTCCTCTGCATGTCGGTATTTTTAGTTCTCTTCGCCTAGACTATATTTGTCTTGCTTCTCTGCTGTTCAAGCTGTGAAAAAGTCTGAGCAATTCCTGTTGTGAGAATTAGTAGTAACCGCAACATGTTCGGTCCGATGGAGCCCAAGTATGAAGAAGATGCATCAAACTGAGGTTTCTGGGTTTACTTTTTTACTTCACCAAGACGAAAAACCAGAAGCTTATTTGTCACCAAAGAACAACCAGAGGTCTCCTCGATGGCTGCTAGGTTTCTTAGTCTGAGACGCACTTTATCTCTTTACCTCACTAATCAACAACCGAGGCTTCCTCTGTTCAAAGGTATCATCTTTCTCTTCTCCAACTTGCGTTTATCTTTTAAATTTATCTCCTTGGCTCTGTTTCATGGGGTAGTAATTGTTTTTTATTAGCAAAAATAGGATCTTTTGTTGTTGTTGCGACTCTTAGGGGCAGTTAAGATCATTACATATAATATTTTTAATTGGCTAATAAGATGACTTTAAACTTCCACGTTGGACACAATATAACGACACCAAACCAGTTTGGTTTTCATGTCTGATTTTTAATTACAATTCATGGTTATTTTAATTACAATTCTTGGTTATTTCTGATTTGGTCAATCGGTAAAGTAGCGGAGAATCCTAGGCATCGTTTCTTCCTATTCCTTACGACTTTCTCCAATTCCTTTCGACTTCCCATCTTTGATTTCTTCTCTTCCGTTTTGCAGATAGATTTAACCACTCTCTGTTCTAATCAAGTCTGTGTTTCTTCTCATTCAATGGCAATCGCCTTTCACCTTCCTCTGCATGTCGGTATTTTTAGTTCTCTTCGCCTAGACTATATTTGTCTTGCTTCTCTGCTGTTCAAGCTGTGAAAAAGTCTGAGCAATTCCTGTTGTGAGAATTAGTAGTAACCGCAACATGTTCGGTCCGATGGAGCCCAAGTATGAAGAAGATGCATCAAACTGAGGTTTCTGGGTTTACTTTTTTACTTCACCAAGACGAAAAACCAGAAGCTTATTTGTCACCAAAGAACAACCAGAGGTCTCCTCGATGGCTGCTAGGTTTCTTAGTCTGAGACGCACTTTATCTCTTTACCTCACTAATCAACAACCGAGGTTTCCTCTGTTCAAAGGTATCATCTTTCTCTTCTCCAACTTGCGTTTATCTTTTAAATCTATTTCCTTGGCTCTGTTTCATGGGGTAGTAATTTTTTTTTATTAGCAAAAATAGGATCTTTTGTTGTTGTTGCGACTCTTAGGGGCAGTTAAGATCATTATATATAATATTAAAAACTCAACCTTTAGTGTTTTCTAAATTCCAATCACTTAATCATGTTAATCTGTCAAAAATGATGAGCAGAGATGTGTGTAAAAGAGATAGGGTCTCTGGGTTTGATTTTTTTGATTTTACACTAGACAGAGATTTGTATAAATAAGGAAATTTTGGTGTTGTTGGTCACATGTTTTAGGCGATTCGTGTGGTGGTATGTGGTGGATAACTCAACCAAAGTCTTTCTGTTTTGATCAGGCCTACTGTTTTCGATATTCCCCCAAAGCCTTTCTTTTTCGTTTTGGCTTTTGATTCTTTAATTAATGCCCATGTTAAGAGTTCCTAGAAAGTTAAAAAGTGTTTCATGAGGTTTGTTTGCCAATTTGACTAGAACATTCAACATTGTATATATAACTTAGACTTTGATACAATGTGACGACCTACAGTACGCATGATTTGGCTATTTCAAATTCTGTGTTGGTTTGTACAGAGCGCTACATTGAAGGATATGCAAGAGAGAACGGCGAGTAGTCAGCCAACATTGAGAGGAGAATCATGAGACATTTCGAGCTTTGTCCACACTTATTTCAATAGTCGAGATGTTAAACCCATCTCAAGCCACATCACATCATATACTCTTCCAGCCGTTGATAGTCTATGTTTCACAGTTTTTCCATGAAAAAAAGGAGAACCCAATTTTGTAGCTGTCAAAGGTTGCAGCATTGGTTCATGAGGAGGTGCAATATTAGCTGAGCTTTTCCCCTTCTCCGTTGTTTCCTGGTGAAAGGTGAGTTATTTGTCTTCTTAACAAACACTAAACTTAATCTATGTGTGGTTCTATCAGAACAATGAAATCTGATACTTGCATTTAAGCTTCTCTGGTCAGGTTTGTGTAATAATATTACACTTATATAATGATTTTTCTTAATGAGCAGTGAGGTAGATCAGTTATACAAGATTTGATGTGTTCATGGCAAGCCAGACTGGACCACGTTTCCTGAAGCAAAAAGCGTATCTCGGATCATGAGTATTAGTCACACAGAGGTAACAAATCTTAATTGAGGGGCTTATTTAAAAACACAAAGATATCGAATTTGACCTTTGATTTTTTTTTGTCAACAGTTTCCACAGAAAAGGATTGCTGGTCTACTCCCTAATGCTTCTTCTGAAGTTATTGATCTGATCACTGTGAGTCCTTTGAATATTTCTTATTGTTATTTAGAAAATATCTTGGTTTCTTATATGATATGTATAACTTTTGAATCAATAGAGACTTTTCTCAAGGGATCCATTGAAACGACCAACTGCTGATCAAGCGCTAAACGATCCTTTCTTTAATGTAATTTGACTTATACTCTTACTTCTTTTGAATCTGTTTCACACACACTCTCTGTATTGATAATATAAGAACCCAATAGATGGCTACGCAGGCTTCTTATCCCCTACATGGTCTTGAGTTGAGGCTTAACACCATGGGTGAGCATTTTTTATTTGTTTATGCTTTCCTAACCTTAGATTAAGTTCAATTTAAATTTATTGTATTCAGCAGCAGAGATGCCTAATCTTGAGCTAAACCTCTGGGACTTCAACACGAGTGTTTTCTGGGCTTGACGCTGGCTGTAAGACCAAGTGCTCCTAAACTGGGTAAGCACCATTCCCTTGTGTAGAGTACATGCATGGTCATATGATTACACACATTGACATTGCAACAAAAAAAATTGCAGAAATGGACTGCAATGCATCTCAGGACATGACTGAGGTAAACTTTTAGACCCCATGAAGCTGTGATGAACTTCTCATTGAGCTGTTGTAATGATCTCTTTTGGTTTACAATGCATATTCTCTTTTTCCCCATGGTTAACGATGATCGTGAACCATCAGGTGAGTGTATGATTAAAACTTAAGCTTATGTGTTAGTTATGTTTTTCTGTATTGAACTATTTTTTTTTGAAACATTTACAGTTTTCTGGTCTCTGCTCTCTGGTTTTTGTACACCTGTTGAATCATCATGTCCTCTATCTCTGTCCTTCAGGTGAGAATGATTCCATATTTTCTTATAATGAATCCATTACTGTGTTAACAGAATTTTTTTGCTGTTGTGAGCAGTGCAATGTAGCAACACACAAGCGTTGGACCTCCACCACAGTCAACAACAGGGTTCACCATGGGATCATCGATGCAACCTAACATGTTGGACCGCCGATGGATGGCTGTGTCTGCGCCCTTTCAACAGGGTCGCAAACATGATCCTAATAATGAGCTTTTCTCGATGGTGTTAGAAGGTACATGGAGAAATTATTCACTCTATTATCTTAGTAGCCTAAGTTACAATCTGTAAAAAAATTATGCAGATGTGTACAATAGATCAACAAGCAAACTATGGTGACCTTACTCCCGAGGAAATACTGGTTAAAAATCTAACTTACTGTTATGTATTTCTTTTCAGTTTAGAGACAATTAGTGGGTTTATCTTATTTATTTTTCTTCTTGCAGACAAGCGGAATGCAATTGCAAGACCCAACAATCCAAAAAATTCTCATAGATCCTGTATTGAGAAGGTAAAGAAACGAACTTAGACTTCTCTATATTTTTCTCAATCCAGAAATCAATGTTTGGTTCAGATCTGCTAGAGCAATCCATATTGATGTTAATGATTTCTTATCAAAATCTAAGACTTCTCTTTCAACAGGTACTTCTGATCTGTGATTTTGACTTACCAGAAATCTCTTACGGAGAACCATAAGCCAGATACGTTGAAGAGGCTGAATATGGCTGTGAGATTTAAGAATGAGTTAGAGCAGAAAGAGTATTCTGATCTCCGTATTAGTGATGCGGAGCCTTAAAAAGGTATTTCTTTTTGCAATTATATATTGGTAAAGAGAGTTGAACTAACTTCATGTTGTGTCTCAAATACAGGTATTGGGCTCTTCAAGGAGAAGAAGTATCATGATGTTGGGAGACATTACCCTGAAGCGATCAAAAGGAACCCAGAAGACTTGAGAGCAAAGTCATTTCTAATCATCTTATGTGCTTCAGTATTGTGATGCATACAAAAGCTTCCGTATTTTAATACAAGCAAACCAAAATAAGGTTTAATATATATAATTATATATTTACGTGGAATCAATAGAAACTGCAACAGCTTGAGAATATAACATCTCCACGTCTTTTTCTCTGTTGTTATAGTAACCAGGTTTGTGTAAGATCAACTTTAGGATGCAACATCTCCAGTCATTTGAATTATTTAGATAGATTTTGAGAACCTTTTTAAAAAGTTTAGACGATTTTAAATGATTTGGCAGTTACTGCATGCCTGCATCAAATAGTTGAATAATTAAGGATATACAAAACACACAAGGATGATGTAATATAACGTTCCTTTACCAAATAAAAAAGTAGTATCACGTTTGAAATGGTTGACAAAAGTTTATAGATGTCATGGCATACAAATTTTTACTAAAATTCTAATTAGGGTAATACACTCTTTAAATGTTAGAGTTGTTAGTGAAATTAAAACTTTGCCTTTTTTATGAAGACAATTACAAAAAAAAATTCCAATTTAACTTTGCTGAAGTTGAAAAAGTATTCGAGCTATAATAATTTTTACGAATTAGAAAGAATGATTCCATTGAAAAATGGTAGTCATGGATCATATAGCAGACAAACGGAAGTATAGAAAAAAATATATGAAATTTAAACTGTCAATTGATTTAAGTTTAAGCCTATAATTTTAGCTTTTTTTATGTAATAATATTTCAAACAGTTAGCTATAATTTCTATTTAGTAAAAAACACTAAATATGTATATATATATATATTCTACCTATTCAGATAAAGTAATATAGACATAACTGAAATATGAAATTAACGGTAATAACCCGGGCGTAGCCCGGGAAAAGTATCTAGTAGATATATAATAGTACAGAAAAGTGTAGATACATAATAGTACAGAAAATTTAATAGTAATCCCAATAATCGTCTCCAATCAAGCCAAAAGTATATATGGATTATATAAATAAGAGAAGACATATTGTTAGAATCAATGAAAATCTTAACCAAACTAAAATCTTATTGATTTTGAAATCAGTGTGAATTAGCTTTCCATTGATCCCTCCTAAGTTTGTTTTTGTAACAGCAACAACACAATAAATACAAAGGAAAATTTCACTCTCAACTCATTACCCTCTCTCTTTCTTACGTGATTCCACCCAAACATCAAAAAATAAATATAATATACTAGGGTTGGCCCGGGCTACGTCCGAGTTTTTTGTTTAAATTTGAATTTTGATAATATATTTAGTATGTTTATTTTATTATATAATTTAGAATCTATTAACAAAATATAAGTAGCTATAGAAAAATATAAAATAATTTTAAATCATTCATTTCACTTGTGTTACCCAACTCAAAAATTTCAATATCTAATTTTTTGTTATTGGAAATTATATATAAGGTGAAGAGAAGAATAATGAACAAAGAATAATTAAATTCTATATTTAATTTGTTGAATTGTAGACATGTTTAATTTTTCTTAAAAATATTTACAGTGTTTATTTCCAATTAGTCTCGAAATAATTTAATGGACTCTTCTCTCTTAAATGATTCTCTTTTTATCGAGGAGACCAAGTTAGAAAATTTTAAGTTAAAAACTGAAAAAGAGAATAATATATTAATAGCATTTACAAATATAAATAGAATAATCCATAAGAGATTCAGAGAACTAAAATGAATATTGTTTGGACTTGTTGAACACCCAAAGCATGCTTAAGACCATGTTTAACTCTAGTCGTTTTTAACTTCGGTTAAGAGACGGTTCATAACCTTTCTTAAATTTAACAAAAAAAAATTTAAACACCGTCTCTTAAATAAGAGATATAAAAACTCCATTAAAAATTAAGACATAATTTTTTATATTCCGTTAAAACCTGTCTTAAAAACTCCCTATTAAACATGTTCTCACGTCACCCACCCGACCATAATTTGACCATTTTATCTTTTTATACTAATCAGCGAGAAGCTCATCATTCATCTTTACACAACTTTGGTTTTACATACGTTTTGAAGATACCAAAAGAGAATAGTTGTCTGGGACATCATCATCGAATTCAAATATTGACAACAAACGTCGAGGTGCCACCTTCTCCAAACAAATTCGTCTAGCTCAAATTTGTTAATAATTTTTATACAATACGGAAATAAAAAGACATAAGAAATACAACAATATCACAATATTCTTCCAAAACTCCCAAATAAACAAACACATCCACTCACATAAGCTCATATATATAATTCAAAGACACAACTACATTCATGTTAACACTAATATCTATCAGCCACACGTGTATTACTTTGACTTCATGTTTCTTTGCAGAAAAATCCATCCCCCGACACCAAAAACAGATCACCACCTGAAATACACACTATGCACTGTAGATTATTAATTTACGAAATCAATAAATAGCAATCTCCAATAAACAATTAAGCTTAAAAAGGTCCAAAAGACTCATACCAAATTACCAACCATGAACCACCATATTTAGTGTTTGGCATCAACAGCTTTATCAACATACTCTACCTTACCTTTGCAAAATCAAACGAAAAACACTGACAGAAACAAAGTTCCACAAACAGCAACCAATATCCCGCGCGTCCGCAACTGTCGTTAGTTTTCAATTATCACCCCTGAGGAAGAAAACTTAATAGAATATCAGAATTCAAGTCCGTAGGCTTTCTAGGGAGTTTTGTGTTGATGTGTGAAGGTTGCAACTGAGATTCTGTGAAGTGATTGCTTGTGTAGCAGGTAGAGTAGGTTGATAATCGACGCTAGATCCATTGACTTAGATTTGTGTTTCACAATTACTCTCCTCCAACCAAAGTGCCACAGCCCTCTTCAACACAAACACATAAAGCCAAAACCAAGATCAATGGCATCTAAACACACAGTCCAAATTTAATAGCAAATGCCAAAAGCAAAGACTATGTCTTTTATCTCAATCAGACATTTAAAGCATCAACAAATAAATCAAATCACAACCTTATGTATCTCAGTTAATCAAATAGATGCAAACCCTTGTTATGGGAGAGTACTCATCGCCGAAAAACCTTTTCTTCAAATTGGGGATTCTCTTTACAAATGAAAATACAAACACTATTAGACAGCAAAAATCAGAAATTGAATATACGTTGAATCATGGGAAAACAAAAAGGGAAGAAGGAAATTGAGGGATTCTGGAGGAGGAAGGCATACTTCTTTTTTACCAACAGATAGACCGCCCTGGAGAAGAGAGACTCCCATTAAAGACCCTATCGCACATCAATAGATGAAAAAGGAGTTCTAAGGATGCAATCGGAACCCTACGTACGGAATCGTCATGCCGACTACATCATCTCAATCTTTCAGACCGTAGAGAAGAAAGAACACGATGAACCCGAGGCATACGTCAGTTGCTATTGGGCTAGGTTATATGAGAGAACACAGAGCCCAAACACATAACACGGCCCACTTTCATGTTGCTCTTGTTAATGCACAGCGTTTCATTTATAGGACACGTGTCAGCGTGTGGGAGCTCGACTTTCCTAGGTGGCAACATGAGAGGAGAGAAAACTCTCTTATATATATATAGATAGATATAGTAAAAGTACTCATTTCTCTTACCATCCTTTACACAATACATTTTTAGCAAGACGCTTTTACCAAACAAGTTTATACCTAAAAAGCAAGTTTATACCGGTGAGGTGATGTTTAATTTTTATTTTTCAAATAATGTGAATTATGTTAATTTTATTATTGTTCCGGAGTGATAAATTAGGTCTTTCCGTTTATTTTTCGGGATGATAGGTGTTATCTTTCCCGACTGATCGTTAAGGTAGATTGTGCCTTCACGATCAGAAGAACACGTGGTAAGCTTTACCTCTATGAATAAAAGAAAATGTCAGAAATATGGTAGACTAATTTTCCTCGGACCTTGAAAAATAAAGGAAAGGTCAATATGGCAGACTATGTCTCCGTAAATATTGAAAAAAGATCAATATGGTAAACTATATCTCCTCGGATCATATGGAAGGCTAAGCCTTTAATTTTATTTATGTTCTTTAAATTTCTGAAATTTAAGTTTATGCTTTTAATTTCTGCCTTTAAGTTTCGCCTTTAAATTATACATTTAAATTCCCATCTTTATTATATTTTCATATGATTCTATGAATACATTTATCTTGTCAAATTTAATAAAACTTGAAATAAATACCCTTGATATCACGGGGAATTATATAATTTCGGCAGTGGGTGCAAAGATGTAGCTGAGAGGAAACAGACTTTTGGACACCATCGATAGTTCAAAAACGGTGTCGGATAGGCTAAGAAAAAACCATGATATTTTTACGACACCACATGCATGATGGTTTAAAATATGAGTATATTATGAAAGAGGATCCTGGGCACCTCTGGTAATATTTAAAAGAGAGGTTTGATCACCACAAATATGTGATCTTACCTAAAGCTAAAGACAAGTGGATCCATCTCCGGTTCCAGGACCAGAAAAGTGTTAGTGAATATAATTCTGTGATTTTCTGAATTACATCTAGGATGATGTTATGTGGAGAGAAAATAAGTGATTGTGATATGAACTAGAAAACTCTCTCCACATTCCAAATTAGAAATGTTATCCTGTAGCAGCAATACCGGGCCAATGGTATACTCGTTACTTAGAGTTGACGCAAGTCTTCCTTGTAGCAAAGCAGAATACTCAACTTGTTACTTTAGACCATCATGTTCATCCCACTGGATCTGCTCCATTCCCCGAAGCGAATGTTCCACCATCCAACTATGATAATTGGAGAGGATGTGGACATGGTCTATATCATGGTCGTGGAAGAGGATATGGAAGAAGTTTCCATCCGTATGATGAAATATATAATAAGGACTTCCAGAGTAATGAAAGAGGCAAGGATGATAAAAGGCAAACATAAAAGGTTTGCTACAGATGCAGTATGAAAGGTCATTGAGTACATAGTTGTCGTACGACACCTAGCCGATCAGTATAGAGAAT